CAGAAGGCAGTTCTGGATCTGGAAATTCCTCAGCGTGCAGGGAAACAGCTTTTTTTTTTTTTAAGTTTAGTGGTTATGCAGTCTACTTCTGGGGAAAAAAAGGCCAGTGAAAGTTAAATGAATAGATGAACAGCAGCAGAACGTTGTCCAGTACAGTGCCAGAACACGAGCCCCTCAGGTTAGAAAGCACTCAAGATACGAATGGGGAAGAGCTGCCTCCTCAAAGTCGAGTTGACCTTAATGACATCGACTGAGTCAAGCTTTTGGGACCTTCATTTGCTGAGGTGGCATGACTCAAAATGAGAAGAAACAGCTACAAACATCCATTAGCAATTGGAATGTGGAATGTATGAAGTATGAATCTAGAGGGTCAGTGAAAAAGAGCAAGACCCTCAACGAGATGGACTGACACAGTGGCTGCAACAATGGGCTCAGGTATAACGATTGTGAAGATGGCGTAGGACCAGGCAGTGTCTTGTTCTGTCGTACAAAGGGTCACTATGAGTAGGAACTGACTTGACGACTCCTAACAACAACATAGAGAAGAAGGAGCCCTGGTGGCACAGTGGTTAAGACTTTGGCTGCTAAGCAAAAGGCTGGCAGCTCGAATCCACCAGCTGCTCCTTGGAAACCCTACTGGGCAGTGTTACTCTGTCCTAGAGGGTAGCTATGAGTCAGAACTGACTCTATGGCAATGAGTTTGTTTGTTTTACAGAGGAGACAGAGCCCTGGTGGTGCAGTGGTTAAGAGCTATGGCTGCTGGTTAAGAGCTACAGCTGCTAACCAAAACGCTGGCAGTTCGAATCTACCAGTCACTCCTTGGAAACCCTATGGGGCAGTTCTACTCTGTCATACAGAGTCTCTGTGAGTCAGAATAAACTTGATGGCAATGGGTTTATAGAGAAGAAAAAACCTTGGTACCCTAATCCTCCCCCAAACTGATAAAGCTTTGGTTAGCTAGAACCTGAAAAACCACAGTTCCTAAAGAGCCATGCCTTCCACACTGCAAAATTTCCCCTATAACAACTACGCTTAATTTAGTGGCCAGAAACTACCAGAAGAAGGATCAAACACGAGCAATAGAGTACATGCAAAATACTGGGTGCTCAACAAAAACAAAGGATAATCTATAAATTTCACTTCAATCCTTCACTTCTAGTCCTAAGAGGAAAATCAAAATGAGTACCTCTTTTTAGTTGGTTCCGTTGTGTTCTTCCCAAGGATTTCTCTAAGGAAAAGCAAATATAGATTATTACGCAGGCATAGGCTAGTGCTAGCCTAAACATGAAAAAGTGTAGGGCTTACTAATTACTCTGCTAGAACTAACCTATTAGTAGAAGGTATTACAATGCTTACAACTTTCAAAATGCATAATAAACTGCATGTTTCAATGAAACAGTATCAACCAAGTATCAATCAAATATCAACCAAGATATGTTACTTAAAAGAGAAGTTTTTACATTTTAATAGAAAAACATGGTAGCAGGCTGTCCAAGTTATTTTTGTGCATTTGGACTGTTTTATATCCTCTAAAAAGAGAGAAAGAGACAATCTGTTGCAGTATGAAGTGGTCAGTGATCTGCAACGGGGTGCACTCATAACGTTTATAAAGAGGTAAATGGGGACATTCTCAGCAAATACTCCTGAGGAATCAAAGAGGAAGCTACATTAGCCAGGGACCTAGATTCCAAGACTCCCCGCAGCACATTCTATCTTATCTAGATAAAGTAAATGAAATGAACAAAACGACGTATTTAAAAAAAAAGGTCCCAGTTCCATAGTGTACTGTTTAATACTAAGAGGGGGAGAAAAGAACATACTTTTCCACTGCCTTTTTCAAATGGAAAAAAATTAAAGGTATTTCTTGTAAGGAAAGCTTATTTCATGAAGATATCATCACGCCCGGGACTCAGACTTGGTGAGCAGGAAGCACCTTTAGGCCTCTCAGAAACCATGCCATCACTACAGCCTGACATTCACATCTAACAAAGTAAGGCCAGGACCTCACAAAAGCGGCCGAATTCTCCTCAGGCAACAAGAAACAAGGGTCAGACAGGTGACTGTCAAAATCTGGTAATGGCATGAATTAGAGACAGATTTTTGTTTGGGTAACATGGTGGATATCACTTTATCCTTTTCAAACGCTTTGTTAATTGTATGGTAGGATTTTTTGCATTTTTTTTTTTTTTTAAATCAGTTTTACCTCATTGCTTTCTGCTCCTCCTCCATCTGTTCTCTGACTTCTTTTAGTTCCTTTAGCAGTTCAAGATCGGTGCCGTTGACCCAGGTGTAGACCACATCGATCGGCATGGGCAGACAAAGCCTAGGACAAACCCAGAAGTCTTCCAGCTTAAATGCATTTTTTCCAATATATTTGGGAATAAGAGTACCACACAAGGTTTAAACTTAAATGTTATTTTTAAAAATCAATGTAAAGGTAATCCAACCATGGTGTGTATTGCAGAATTGCATGTTTTCAAATGGGAGAAGGCTAATTATCTGTCACCTTCTCTGTGAGCTGCATTATGTACACAAGATACTTTATGTCATTTGCGTCATTTGATACTTACTCATAACCACCGCGTAAGGAGGCTGATATCACTGCTTTTAAAAAACTGATGGGGGAAGGTGGTCTTGGAAGTTCGATTAGATAAAGTGCTAGTTTCATAGTCTAGTAAAAGAAGGAGCTGGGATACAAATGCAGTCAAACATAGAAAAGAAATTAGAAGCTTAAAGAACAAAACAAAACAACAAAAAAAGTCATCAAAACAATCCCCAATGAAGACCTACCCCTATTTCATGCTGCAGCCTTCCTCAGCCCTGCCTCGCCCTGGCCCAGGACTCCGAATCCTCACTCTGATCTCATTTTTTCTTTTCTTCCATAACACTTAATACTTTTCTAACATATTAATTAACTTGTCACCTACACTGCTAATTGTCTGTGTCCTCCCACTAGAATGCAAGCTTTGAGAAGGCAGGAAAATCTTCATCTGCTTGCTTATCTCCACTGTCCAAACAGAAGAGCCTGACACAGAGGTACTCGATAGATAGCTGCTGAATAAATCAATGATCTACTAGCACAGAAGACCTTCCTGAATCTGCTTGATTTTTTTCTTATTATCTTATTCACAAAATAATGAGTCAGGTAGGATTATAGTTCTCACGTATCCTGTTTATGCCTCACCTTAGTGTTTTTGTTTAGGTTTTAACCCTGCCTACAGCATTCTTCAAGGAGCCCTCGTGGTATAGTAGTTAAGCACTCGGCTACTAACCAAAAGGTTGGTGATTTGAATCCACCAACCGCTCTAAGATGGGGCAGTCTGCTTCTATAAAGATTACAGCCTTGGAAACCTTATAGGGCAGTTCTACTCTGTCCTACAGGGTCACCTGACAGCAGTGGATTTGGTTTGGGAAAGCATTCTCCCTCGTTCTCTCGTGGATTTATCAAAATCGTAGCCAACAGGGTTCACAACAATGTCACTCCAATCTACGACACAGGAGTTTAAATCTGGGTACTAATATTACTTTAGATTATACTACTTCAAGTTGGGTATTTTCTAAGAAACCGTACAGTTCTCTTTAAGCCTAGCACCAAGCTTACCCTATTTTTGTCCTCACACCCCAGCCACAGGGTGTTTATAACTGCCCACGGCAGTTATAAATGGTTCCACAGACTAACCAAAATGTCATGTCTTTGCTTTTGACTGGATTCATATCACTCTGTGCAGGGTTAATTATCTCATGTTAAAATAAATGCAGTTTGGTAGATAAATCTTTCAAATTATGGGGGGAAAAATAAACAATAAAAGCTGAAAAGAACTAAGTAAGATAACTGTATAAAAGAAATGTTTATTCATTTACTGAATATTTATGAGTACTTCATATGTGCCAGGAACTATTTTATGTACTGGAGATTCAGCAGTAAACAAAACAGACTCAAATCTGTGCCCTTATAGAGCTTACATTTGAGAAGCAGTTTTAGTTTTCCTAGAATCTAGATCTGGGGTCTATGGAATAGGGGTGACCCACCCAGGACACTGCCCTGAGATCTTCTTTTGAACCTTGAGCCTTGAGCAGACTGGTCTAAAACTAAAAGAAGGGAGGTGGGGCCAAGATGTCGGAGTAGTCAGACGCTTCCGGTGGACCACTCACAACAAAGACCCGAAAAAACAAGTGAAACAATTATATATGACAATCCAGGAGCCCTGAACATCTAAGGCAAAGTTGAGGAACCAGACTGAGTTGCAGGGGGAGGGAGAGATGGTTTGAAAGCAGCGAGGAGTTGCCAGACCTTATCCAGTGAGAGCCTGAGCCCTTCAGGCCTGATCAGCTCATGGGTGAGCAGTGAGACAGGCAACCCAGCGGTGCTTGGGAGGCGAATTCCCCACCGGGAGAGATCCAGCTGCAGAGAGTCTACTTGGCCACCCAGAACCAGTGAGAAGCAGCCCTAGATCGGCGAAAGATAAGTACTTGCATACAGCCTACCCCGCAGATCAAAAACATCCCCCTTAGGGAAAAACCTCTCTCCCATTTACCTCCCCGCTCCCTGCTCTGCACTGGGTCCCGGACAGCTTCAGCAACTGCCAAGTCTCCTGGGGCAGAAGTAGGATCCGTCACACGCCCTGAGCCACTCTCCCGGCCTTGGAGAGTGAACAAATCAACAACCCGGAAAAAATAAACTGCTGGCTCCTCTAAGCCAGGAATCCAGGGTAGGCACAGCTCCTTTGCCTAGGAACAGGCATAAAGGATCCATGGACTTTGAGTACCCTTCCCCCTGCAGAGACTTGTTTGGGCCCATTTCAACAGCGTAGGCCCTCATTACCACAGTACAACACAGTATATACCTGAAGTCTAACTTGAACTGTTTTAGCAGTGAAGTGGCAGGTTCGTGACATTTGACACTGCTCTGCCCATTAAGCAGGGTCTTCAACTACCCACATCAGAGGCCTGAGGACTGGTGGCACCACTCATGCCACCTAGCCAGGTGCGATAGGGGCCTAAGAATATGAGATGCCCCCCAGTCCTTACAGCCAACAGCACTGGGTGCTCATAGTCCAGCTGCAAAACCCACCCACCTACATGCTCTAGAGAACAGGGGCACGCCTTCCTCCTGGACACTCAGGGGCAGCCATCAGCCCCCTGCCTTGCTCAGAATATGTCCCCCTGCTGCAGCCAGATGTCTCTGCCTACACCAATCACCCATGCCTGTCTAGGACTGTAAGTGAGAGCCTACACCACACACTTGGTGGCTACCTGGGCACCTGAACTGAACCCATACAGGAGGAGTGGGCAAACTCCTGAGCTCACAAACCCAGTAACAGATCTAACCACCTGGGGACAGGGCATTAGAGCTTCAAAGGTGCCAATAATTAAACTAGCTCATACACACAGCCTATTTGGGCATATCAAAACAAAACAAGAAGCTAGGACACAGTAAGCAAACATAAAATAAATAAATACAATAATTTATTGATGGCTCAGAGACAATAGTCAATATCAAGTCACATAAAGAGGCGATTCATGATGGCTTCAGCAAGCTCCCAAAATAAAGAATCTAGAAATTTTCCAAAGGAGGAAAATTTCTTGGAATTACCAGAGGCAGAATACAAAAGATTAATATACAGAACTCTTCCAGAAATTAGGATGGAAATTAAGCAAAACCCAGAAAACACAATAGAGGAAATTAAAAAAAGATTCGAGTATAATGACAAATTTAACAGGCTGCAAGAATCCATACAGACAGCAATCAGAAATCCAGAAGATTAACAATAAAATTTCAGAATTAGACAACTCAATAGAAAGTCACAGGAGCAGAACTGAGGCAATGGAAGTCAGAATTAGTGAGACTGAAGATAAAGCACTTGACACCAACTTATCTGGGGAAAAACCAGGTAAAAGGATTTTAAAAAATGAAGAAACCCTAAGAATTATGTGGGACTCTATCAAGAGGAATAACCTACGAGTGGAGTAGCACAACGGGGTGGATAACAGAATATACAGAGAGAATTGTTGAAGATTTGTTGGCAGAAAACTTCCCTGATGTCTTGAAAGATGACAAGATATCTAACCAAGATGCTCATCAAACCCCACATAAGGTAGATCCCAAAAGAAAGTAACCAAGACATATTATAATCAAACTTGCCAAAATCAAAGATAAAGAGAGAATTTTAAGAGCGGCTAGGGATAAACGAAAAGTCATCTACAAAGGAGAGTCAATAAGGATAAGCTCGGACTACTCAGCAGAAACCATGCAGGCAAGAAGGCGATAGGATGACATATATAAAGCCTTGAAGGAAAAAAACTGCCAACCAAGAATTACATATCCAGCAAAACTGTCTCTCAAATATGATGGTGAAATTCAGGCATTTACAGATAAACAGAAGTTTAGGGAGTCTGCAAAAACCTAAACAAAATTACAAGAAAGAGGGACTTAAAAAATGTAGACATAGACTCTGCATATGGAGAGGAAGTGAAGGTGATGTAAAGAAATGAAAAACGGGTAAATATTACAGTAACGACAAAGGAAACTAACAATCTAACAAGTCAAAATCAAAAATTAGAAAAATATAAAGACTCAGCAAACACAAAATAAATGACATAAAGAAAAACGACACAGCACAGAAAATTAAGTGGAACAATGAAACTGTGAACAACACACAAGAAAAGACATCAAAATGACAGCACTAAATTCATACCTATCAATGATTATGCTGAATGTTAATGGACTTAACGCACCAATAAAGGGACAGAGAGTGGCAGATTGGATTAAAAAAACACGATCTGGCTATATGCTGCCTACCAGAGACACACCTTAGACTTAAATATATACACAAACAAACTAAAACTCAAAGGATGGAAAAAAAGATATCAAGCAAACAACACTCATAAAACAGCAGGAGTGGCAATATTAATCTCTGACAAAACAGACTTTAAAATCCACCACAAAGGATAAGGAAGGACACTATATAATGATTAAAGGCTCAATATATCAGGAGGACATAACTACAATAAATATTTACGCACCCAATGACAGGGCTCCAAAATACATAAAATAAACTCTAATAGCACTGAAAAGAGAGATAGATAGCTCCACAATAGTAGTAACAGACTTCAACACGCCACTTTCGGTAAAGGACAGAACATCCAGAAAGAAGCTCAACAAAGACACGGAAGAGCTAAATGCTACAATCAACCAATTTGATCTCATAGACTATACTGAACAACCAACAGCAGCCAAGTATGCTTTCTTTTCCAATGCACATGGAACATTCTCCAGAATAGACCACACATTAGGCCACAAAGCAGGCCTTAACAAAATCCAAAGCACTGAAATATTACAAAGTATCTTTTCTGACCATAAAGCCATAAAAGTACAAATCAACAACAGAAAAAGCAAGGAAAAAAAAAATCAAACACATGGAAACTGAACAATACCTTGCTCAAAAACTACTGGTTTATAGAAGAAATTAAGGATGGACTAGAGAAATTCATAGAATCAAAACGAGAATGAAAACACATCCTACCAGAAACTCTGGGACACAGCAAAAGCAGTGTTCAGAGGTCTGTTTATAACAATAAGTGCACACATCCAAAAAGAAGAAAGGGCCATAATCAAAACATTAACCCTACAACTGGAATAAGTAGAAAGAGAGCAGGAAAAGAAGCCCTCAGGCACCAGAAGAAAGGAAATAATAAGAATTAGAGCAGAATTAAATGAAATAGAGAATAGAAAAACAA